GATATTGAACAATCTAGGCAACATAGCAGTTGATTTTGAACTTGGGACCACCAGGGCAGTTTAGAAGTCTTGTGTAGAAAGTGTACAAGTTGGATTGCAGCTTCAAAATACATGTACTCTCATCTCAAGCATTCTACAAGTCACATGATTTATGCTTACATGAGTTTAGTCTGTTTCATTTCAAAATCAATATATCATTAAACCAGCAAAAGCCACCCATCAACTTCAACTCTATGCAGTCTCAAAAGATTATAGTAATTAAAATCTTAATTCTCTGATGCATAGTAAGCTAGAATTTTTTAGTTCTTCCCTATCTGCAACAACAAAGTCCCATAAGTAAAGTAAGTAACCAATGAACTCTCTTGCAGATGCAGTATTAAAAGTCTAAAAGGTGTTAAAAGATGTGGTTGCAAACTTTTCAGGACTAAATTATAAGTGTAAAGTTTATGTGACATAGCTAGTCAGAATTAATTATTGATGGATTTGGCTAAATGATGACAGATTTACAAAACCACCCATTAATTAAAAGAAAAAGTAGAAGATTCGAAATTTTCTCTCTATGCCAATTTTGTTTGTGTGTGGAACTTGGAAGATATAGAGACAAGAATGAAATAAACAATAGAGTTAAAACTGAAAACGGAGGGTACAAACAGGCATAAAAAAATATTCCTGGCAGTGACAGGATGAGAAATGAAGCCAATAATTTTAGAGAATAATATATGTGAGAGTGAGTGAAGTTACGAGGATTGTCGTCCACAGCACTAACTTTAATTGGAATTGGGAGCTCAAGTGGAGGGAGGGAGGGAGGGACAATTCTCTTTAGCTTTTCTTGCAGAAACGGATCCAAGTTTATGTTGACAGACTAATACTCAGATACTTAGCCCAATATTTCAAATCATAAAATTGGATATCATGAGCTTAAAAATTCAGGAAATATTCCAAGATGGTTTTGTGGCAATGACAATACATGGCATCTGAATTTTGAATCGAACCGTTATAAGAAAATGAAGTTGTAATTTTTAAATTTTTTTATTTTAAAACAAGGGGGGTGATCGGTTCATAATTGTATATTATTTCTTACCCTTCTAGCTTATGATTTGGTTATGTTTTTGAGTTAAACTTGTGCTTTTAATCCTTTTTGTGTTTATCTTTCAGTTAATTGAGCTTTAGGTAACAATGATGGCTTTGGAGAACATAATTCATGCAATTCAAGCATGTTAAGGCCTAATTTGGATGAATTGATGAAGAGCTTAAAGACAAATTCATTATGGCTACAGCCCCCTGCCAGTCCAGTTCCGTAGGTCATATTGCAAGCTTTGTTTCAGCAACCTACATAGCTCGGATGAGGCCACATTCTTCATGAAAGTTGCTCCAATTGGTGTGTACTATAACATATCCAAAATTCAGCCCCATTGGATAAATCTGGAGTCCGTTACCTAGCAAAACACAGAACCATGCTCAGGATGGATCTTATCAGCGCGGAAAATGAGTTAGCAATTTGTTTTGGCCTTAACTTCTTACTCCGACCTTGGATTGGCCCAAATAACATATGGATGGAAAG